GGAAGGAGAGATCATAATAAATGTACCATTTCTCATATCCCAATGAGTGGAAGAATTGCATCATTGACGTTTCATGAATGAATGTGGGCAATTTCTTTGCAGAGTAAATAAGTAATCAAAATTCAACCGACGGAGATATAGCTTTGTAAGCAACAGTCCAATAAAAGATGAATTGTGTTGATGTACGCATCAAGACCTACTGTGATTCCTTGTAATCTTGTCACTTACTTCTCGGCATAAATAACAAACATTCTCGGAACCACCCGACTGACACTTGCATGCCTCGATTGCAGATATGGATTTTACGTCCACGTATGTGTTTTGCTCGTTCCAGTTATTGAAGTACGGACTATCGATATTCGCAAATCAAAAACCCAAGTAAGCAAGACAACCAAAACTGCAAATCAGGTACCAAGTTTATACGCAATTCACTAATAATCGACCAAAGTCGTTCTAACAACAATAATTATAACGATTACAAAACAAACCTTCAATTTTGTAGGTTCCCGGAGCAAAACTCTCAAATACCAAACCAAAGATAAAGAGAACACCAAATTACCAAACCAAAATGTCCGAAATAATAATACAAACAAACAAGTTCAAAAGTTAAGTAAAACAATTACATCCAAAAACACAGTAAATTAAAAATGTACAATAAAAGGTTTTAATCCGCCAAATTTCTTCAGTTCTCCCATAACAATGGACACGTTGAAATTTGAGTAATTTTTTGATTGTGTTCCGATCTGAATAACACGATGAATGGGATAGTGAAGGACACAACAGGTTAAAGATAAATCTCAATGAACCGCAGAACTTAAAATTAATACTTATGATTTGTTACTTGATACTTTTGTCTGAACTCTTATTGCTATTGTTCTTTCCATAGAAGGAATACCACTTCATGTTGTTCATTGTTTATGGAAGAAAAGAAACCAAGTGGATGATGTCAATATAATGTTGTGAAGGGTCAGCTGCCTACTAATACGTAAGGCAATATATCACTATTTGATTAAAGTGAGTTCTATCGGAACATGAAGGTTTGAAGCGAGAGAAAAGCATGTCTGATGCCATAAATGAATGAATTAACAAAAGTAAATAGTTCTGTTTACCAGCAGTCTCAGTTTGAACATTCTAGAGTGAATTTGTGATGTTTATAATATTTGCTGAGTCTTGCGCTTAACTAACAGCATCATTCTACAATCAATGTAATCGGTTCATATTTGTTTACAGTTCACTGTCATGATACACCATATCATTTGTAACTACTATAGTATGCGTTTGATAGTTTTAGCCACTGAATATCAGTGCAGATGAATTGAAGGTAAATCAGAGCAGTTGAGCTTCAGAATATATAACTGTCAGATTTCGCTTCTCAGTATGACATTGTGCTGTCAACGACGAAATTATGAATTTGCTATTTCAAAAATATTAGAGAAGCGTGTATTTGTTAAAATGTTATTGCTTATTGTGTCTTAGCTTATAATAAACTACCACAGAATAGTTCATTGCATCATACACATCAGACGTGTGTTATGCGTTCGGGACTCATATCTCAATTCGTAACATGAAATAAACATTATTCATCACCTCATCACACGTGTTCGCCCCGGGTACTGTAGATAAGATAATTATATTAAACGTCAAGCATTAATGATGAGACATGAATTATCGCATTTTTTCAACGTTTGTAATAACACTGCATTTATTGATTTACTCAATTAAACCGTTTTCACAAATTCTATAATCAAATCTTGCATACAAAATATCCCCTTGATATTCTGATACATTGTAGCTCAACTGCAATATTTTGCGCTGATACAGCGTAAGGATCTATACAAGTTGTATTTTCACAGTTTAACATTGTGATACTTTCAATGAACTTAAATTTGACCATAAGCTCAAGTTCAACATCAATCACATAAAATGAGTGCATACGATCTCATTTTTAGATGGTAAGCTAAAGGTCATTCAATCAGCACACTCACATGATGTAATTCATTTAATGACTTGCCATATTATGTCATACACGAACTAGTGCAGTCGTTTATTTTGGAAATCATAATGTTCTTGTGTATAGTTACACTACGAAAATCTACATAATTATAATCATCCGAATAAACGTTTCCTCAATAATGTGACATGTAATTGTCGAGATGTACTGGATAGCTTACTAGTTTGTTGAATAAGTAGGACCTAGTTTATTTTTGTGAGCCAATTATACTCAACACCATTTCAGGTTTTGAATTACCAAGAAGATTACTAACTGTTATGAATTGATGATAAAAAACATGACGCTGAACAACAGTCAAAGTCAGTTCAATAACTTCTCTCAACTGAGCTCCAATGGTGTTTGAGATTTGTCATAGTATGGAATGCATGCATGTTTGAAATGTGTGGAATACCTGTTCAAGTACAATCATTTATAGTGTCGATATGTGTCACCTGGCTTTTAGATGATAGGTGGCGTTAGACAATTGAGATTGAATGATGGACCGGTGAATCTCGGTAATATGCATTCTTCGAATATCCACCTACCGAGTCTACAGAATGAAATTTAATGTTAGTGGAGAAGGCACAATCTACTAACTTATACGTTATTGTTTGGTTAAAATATTTGATAATAAGTTCCAAGTGTATCGCAATGCACCGTTGGTGGAGATCATGTTGTTTGTACAAAGTTAGTTAGACTTGCTACAGCCTAAACTAAAAATGAGATTCCAAACATTTGAAGAAACTGTTTCTATCGATATTTCTTCACTTGTACTTCACTTTGATTGTGTTATATTGGAATCAACGTTCTTCAGTGACGAGCGATTCAACCACACACTTTTGATTCACCATTTTTGCTGTTGTTGTGATAGATAATCCTAGGCTACACGTTTATGGATGACCATGAACTCAATGTACACATTTGCTTTGGTACAGACGAGAGTGAGAATAATTAGCTCTTTCTCTCGAAATGCGGTCTCTTAGCCACGTGTATGCAGCCAGTATCAGGGAAGTTCTACTCTCTGCCTTCTCGACACGGAACGTTCTTCATGAAATTCGAACGTTCGATTCCGTTATCAGTTTGCTGGATACCGAGGATCCATTCGGATAAGTTGTATAATCGTGAGTCTAGACCAATGATAATTACCACTGGATTTTTTTTCATTATTAACCCTCTACTCACTGCTAAGTTTATTTGAAACTATCAAGTGGAACTTTATTAATAATACTTCATAAATAATTAGGTTAATTAAAGTTGCTGCTACTATGATTTACTGAAGGAAGATGTCTTGATCAAATTTTGTGAACGAAACTACTGTTTCATATTAGAGAAGCTGATGATGAATTTTATCAGCATTTCGACGAAATAAACACGCCAGTCCGTACAAACTAAGTCGTACAGTTCATCGTCATTTAAAAGTTTTATTATCCATTCTTTTTTAATTCAAAACTGACTGAAGGTAACCATGAAAATAGTCTGATGTCGGTTCAGAAGTTCAGAGGTTAGAAGGCTTCCACAACATCTGACATTTTAAAAACTAACCATCGGTGAGGTTTTTGATGCCAAACTCTGAGAAGTCGTATCATCGAACTAAACAGCCAACATACGCGTTGAAGTTTCGAGTGGTTGTTTCAATCAGATAACTCGATAATGTGTGTTATTGAAAAATAACATTTGCTGTACTCAAATTTTTTTGATTGCATCACAAGATAATGCAATATATGTGGATGTCACTAGTAACCTCATGTTTGCTTTATTCAATTGAGATTTGTATTATTTTATTTACGTCACGTTCACTGTATCTAATAATCTGATCTTTGTGTTCGTGTCAAAAACAACCATTCTGAATCTGATCAGATTTGTGATAACTTGATTGGATGAAACTAACAGTCTCCTTCAAAAGTAAAAGTATAAAAGCAAATGGGTATGTGATCCATTTAATTGACGTAATCTAAAATGTAAGTTATTCAAAGATTCAGCATTCACATAATGTTTCAGCAGCTTTTTGAAATTTACATGTAAAATATGAACTACTGCTGATGTACAATTTGTCACTAATATAAACATTTTTATATAACAAAATGTCATTTTCGTTAGGAAAAATTCATCATTACTGGTGGAGTTCGCCACTGAAAGTGGATTAGTGTAGTGTAATGTTGAGAAACGACTGAAGTTAGTATTTTGTACTGTGAGAGGCCAAACTGATTATCTTAACTTTAAAGACATAACATGATTCTTGAACTAGTCAAGGTTTACCACTGCTCTGGAGGTTCATACCGGGACAACAAGTCAAATCTACTGAACTTGAATCGCGCACAGATGTAACCTGAACCTTGTCTTTGATGAAAAATTATGAGTTGAACAATCTCCGCATATATTTACCAAATATTCTATGAGTAGTAAAAGCTGTTCAATATACATTACGATGCATTATCAAACTTCATTTCAGGAATTCACTCGATGCATTAGGCAAAATGGAATCGGTATTCACCATATGAAACAGGAATTTAAATATTCGACCAAGTGAACCTGGTCAACAAAATACTTAAATAACACATGAGATATGTAGGTTGATTCTCTCGTGGGGTTCATGGAATAGTGGAAAGTTAACATACGATGAAAAAGTTCCGTCAATCTTAATTATATTCTGTGCTAACATATACAGATGGAGCACTAAGATCGGTTTGAGCCTTTAGATTTAAAATAAAGAAAAGTCAAACAATCAACCATTTTTCAATATATTGATCTTGACTAACATATATCAGACGATATGTTGTTATTTTGATGATTGCTCAATCCAAACACATGTTATGGTTATGAGAGTCTGCTTTGTGTATAGAACACCGTTTCCGTATCTCACGTTGTCAGTATAAAGCATCAAACCATCCGCGATGTTCTGTGAATATCTCACTCTATACGCACAATAGTCTCTAAACTGCACGTTTGTTAAAATTTTATTTTGCCATACAGACAAATACATCAGATTAATTAGAAGCTGAACCACCTACGAATGATGATCAAAAATACATCTGTTTTTGTTTTAATATTCACAACTCTACTGCTGAATACTCGCGACGGTATGGAGGGAAAATCATCATACAAAACCTACTTAAATCGAAGTGGGTTATTCAACAAAACCCTTTTCAATTTCACTGATACTAAAAACAAAACTGTATTTGAAGGCTGGATAGAGTATTCAGATAAAGTTCAACGATCTAAAGCCACGCTTGTACCACTTTATGGACAGGTAAATGTAATTTGTATATGCAATTTAACTGACACCATGTTTAGAACAACCAATCAGCCATTTTCTTCTATCTACTCAACTCAGGACCAAATGGATCGAGTTTTGCTGGCGTCCACAAGATAATTTTTGATCCGGTTTGGCCAGTATATGACGGTGTTGTAATTGATCTACATAGACAAGGTCTAGATTTCAATTTCAAACTGATCTTCTATGGAAACTGTGAGGATGTACAAAATTGCGTATCATATGAGTCAAACTTCAAAGTAATGTGAAATTCAGTTATGTAGAGTCATACAATGTGTTTTCTATGAAATCTTTACAGACATCTGGCGAACGACAACGAATAGAACTACCATTTAGCAAATTTACGCAACACAATCAGGGAAGACAGATATCTAATCGATTGCCGCCAAGTTTAAACCAAGTATCTCAAATCGGAATACAAGCATATACAGGTAGAGATGGGACTAAACAGCAAAATGGTGTAGGTTCCATCGAAATATTCACTATTTCAATATATAATGAAGCTCGATAGCTAGTTTACATAAACCGAATTTATAGGGAATTTCGACTACTTGATATGAAGCACTTATTGATACTATGATAATTTTCGTTTATTTCAAATAACTTTGTCAATAAATATCACATATCCACCTATGAGTATTGAATGATTTCACGGGTTTCTTATAGTTCACACGAGCGTCATTGAAGGTAAACTGTGATGTAACTCAGGTGGCTGAATAGAAATGCATTCAAATAGTTGAGAATATTTCCTGCTTACCTCGGGGTAACAATCGAGCACCAAAATATTTGGTGATAATTAAAAACACGATATTCAATGATGAGATCTCTTTTGAAGGGACTTATTATCAAGTTGTATATTTGTATGTAGATATGAAGATATTTTCACTAAATGTACTGGCTTCGTGATGAATAATTGAAATAATGTAATAGTGAGGTTATAATACTAGATCACGTAATATGAATAGAAACAACAGACCTAATAATTTATCATCGAGCCATCACGTGAATAAACAATGATGATTAACATGTGTATGTAAATAGAGGTACACTTATACAATATTTCACACTTATATATACTACTGCTTATTGTCTTTATTTCATCATAAATACTGTGAATGAATGATTTTCCTTAACGAAATCCTAGACGTTGTTGTCTTTCATTCCCCAAGTGCATTCACTGACCAACGGTCAGTTGATCTGGAAATCATTACAATGATTTTCATTGTTAGACAAGCACAAGAAACAATAACCAGCGTGCATTAGTGTGTGTGGGAGATAGATAGCGGTTTGAGATCATAGTGGAAATAAAGCATGATTTAATCGAATGTAATAATCTTGACAATAATGTGAAACAAAAATGTTATTAGTGATAAGTAATAATCATAGTTGTCTTTATCAAATTAATTTTCTTCTCCAACATTTAGCCTCCTGAATTCCAAAGTACATCTTACAGTATAAGATATCAACAATATCAAAGGTGAATGTATAGGTGTAGACTGATAAGAAACTGTATCTGACTACAATTCATATTATTGACTAGTCACAAATTGAATTTCCAATTATTACTATATTACTACAATGGAATTGGTAGTGCTAATAATAAGTCAAGAGTGAATCGACTATTCACATTTGTTTATGACACGATGAGTACATAGACGATACACACTATCACTTCTATTGATATAATGAAAAACCCAGTAGTAAAGTGTGACCCATTTTAAGTTGACTGAGTTTGTCGATTACCAAGAGATTAGTTTCGAACCACGTCGAAATGTTTTCAGGCACTTTGATCATTAAAGATACTATAGTTATTTGTAGAATAACAATACCTTAAACAGTCACATCTTTGATAATCCAAAAGTGCCAACACAGTGAAATCAGAAGTGAGAAGCTGGGAGGTTCAGTAGCTTGTTTGATGAGCTATGGACATACGGAGACGTGATGGACATAAGATGTCTAGCGGTTGTAGGGGACGTTGAGCACAGCCTACGCAATCGTGATCTAGTTCGGATGATTGAACGAGAACCTTCAGCTGACCAAGACTGATATGATCAGGATCAAATGTCGAAGACTTACAGATCTACTGAGTTCGCAGGTTTTTTCATCGCTACAACATGTATGGCTAAGAAAACCGAATAAATGACAAGGCAAGACCAAATAACAATTTGTGAAGTCATAACTAATACTGCAATTAAAAGTACTGAATATCACGTAGGCAGACGATATTTTATAATATACAGCGATCGTTCGGCTACACTGACTGAACTATTCAAATACAATAAATACTCTTACATGTTCTTACATGTTCTCACCCAAACTATGCGCTGGCTCTAATTTCCATGAAGCTCAAAATTGAAGTAACTACCAACTAATATCAGTTAATGTCAGTCGGTAACCACGAATAAATAATGTTTTACCAGTTACACCCTTTATTGTTAGCTAGACCACTGTTAAATAGATCGATGCACTCAAAAGACTAAACGTGAACAAAACACCTCTGTCTATACAATCACAATTTAGAGGCGATGCGCCCAGTGAAATATTTCGTCTAAAGTTACGCAGATTAATCTAAAGAGCTTCTAACGCAGGCGAACTACAATCAGTGTTTTCCACACATGCAATGATTATTCTGTTGTTGAAAAACATTTTCTGAACCAATCACTCCTTTCTGTATCTATCAATTCAACTGCTTCTGTGCAGCTTGTTGCGTAAATAGAGATGTTTTGGTGATATGTATATTCGGCTTGTGAGCACCTCTCATTGTGATTAAGCGAAGGTGTCGTTGAAAATGTTAACAGTTACACTTTAGCTCATTTATTTCAAATTTGAAACACAGTCAACATGGATCAACATTTTAGAACAATATATCGTGTTAACAATAGTCTACGTGATTCCGTGGTGCTGCGATATCTATAGACGTCTGAAACAATTGCTATTCCGATCAAGACACCAGGGCTTTACCACGGAAGATATATGTTTGGCCGCTCTTGTTAATTTGGCCAGGTTGAAGCTCAACTAGTTTTTAGTCAATTGACTGATATAATTCTGCGTATAACACTATTCTTGATTTGTAATTACATCAATCTCTCGCACCCCGTGCTGACCATTAATCATTATCTATTGCACATTGAAAACAGAAAGTTCAATGAAGGGATCTCTTTTCATCGAATCTATTTTCAAGCTGTTCAATCGTAAACATATTATGATGATCGCTTTTCCTCCAAGTACTAGTTTTGTGAAGAGATATGAACAAAAAATAAACAAAATGACGTAATCGACAGATTGTTACACTGGATTACGTAATATGGATAATAACAATAGACCTAAGAAGTTAGCAAGAAATCACAACGCGAACGTTGTAAGATTAATAAAATGTTGCCGTCAGTTTAAGAATAGCAGATACAACTACAGAAGCATTTTGACTAAAATGCGCAGACAGGATATCAACGAACCCAATAATGTTACGAATTCGATTATCAAGATATCACATCAAGAAAGAGTAACTGTTCATCTTAACAAAAATGACTTATTTGACAAGATCAATATTATCTTGAATAATCACCGAAAACTTCAGGAAGAGAATGACCAAGAGGATGTCATCAAATTATATAGATAGAACTAAACAGATCACTGACGAAGCTCAGATATCAACACGTGATTCCAACAAACATCGACGAAAGAATTTGTCCGCTAGTTACCCACTTACCTAGGTTATGCAGACTACGAACGTACATTTGAAATTCATTGGTGGAATGTATAAACTATTAGATGGAGTCGCTGTGGGTTCACCACCAGGTCACATTTTACTCGCCAAACTAGAAGGCACTCCACTAGTACTGACAAGTTTTCACTTTACTGCCGATATATGTACAATACGTTTATGGATCAGAATGTTTAGATCGACCTGATATATACTTAAGCGGTTCAACGAAGTTCGTCCTTCCATAAAATTCGTATTATACAACATCATATTTCGCATTTTTCTCTCTTTGCGCCTCTCTCTTATGCCATGTTGACTACATTTATTCTGACCGTTATTTGTCTCACAGTTTCATTTTACTTATAAATTCATTCACGTTGAGATTTCGTATCAGTCGGACCCACATGAACAGTTTTAGGCAATATTATGTGCCGTAATCTGCACGAATTATCTAAGCAAGTTATTTGGATAATTCATTTTGATAATCCGCTCAAACTGGAAGTCACGTAAATAAAAAAATACGAATCTCAATTGAATAAAGCAAACATGAGGTTACTAGTGACATCCACATATATTGTATTATCTTGTGATGCAATCAAAAATTTTGAGTAAAGCAAATATTATTTTTCAATAACACACATTATTGAGTTATCTGATTGAAACAACCACTCGAAACTTCAACGCGTATGTTGGCTGTTTAGTTCGATGATACGACTTCTCAGAGTTTGGCATCAAAATCCTCACCGATGGTTAGTTTTTAAAATGTCAGATGTTGTGGAAGCCTTCTAACCTCTGAACTTCTGAACCGACATCAGACTATTTTCATGGTTACCTTCAGTCAGTTTTGAATTAAAAAAGAATGGATAATAAAACTTCTAAATGACGATGAACTGTACGACTTAGTTTGTACGGACTGGCGTGTTTGTTTCGTCGAAATGCTGATAAAATTCATCATCAGCTTCTCTAATATGAAATAGTAGTTTCGTTCACAAAATTTGATCAAGACATCTTCCTTCAGTAAATCATAGTAGCAGCAACTTTAATTAACCTAATTATTTATGAAGTATTATTAATAAAGTTCGACTTGATAATTTCAAATAAACTAAGCAGTGTGTAGAGGGCTAATAATGAAAAAAACTCCAGTGGTAATTACCATTGGTCTAGACTCACGATTATACAACTTATCCGAATGGATCCTCGGTATCCAGCAAACTGATAACGGAATCGAACGTTCGAATTTCATGAAGAACGTTCCGTGTCGAGAAGGCAGAGAGTAGAACTTCCCTGATACTGGCTGCATACACGTGGCTAAGAGACCGCATTTCGAGAGAAAGAGCTAATTATTCTCACTCTCGTCTGTACCAAAGCAAATGTGTACATTGAGTTCATGGTCATCCATAAACGTGTAGCCTAGGATTATCTATCACAACAACAGCAAAAATGGTGAATCA